CTGGCTGCCGCGGTCCGTTAACAGACAGAGTCATTGAGCAGCTCCCCGAACCCCCTTAAGGCACCGACCGCCACCCGGCTTGGACCCCGTGGCGTCAAAGCTCTGAAGGCGGAGTAACACAGCACGGTACTGAGGGACACAAGAAGATGTTTCCTCGCAGGCTCTGGAGCGAACACTCACGGCCTGGAAATGCAGAACCCGCCTGGAGAAGAGTCGAGCTGCAGCTGATACGCCGGCCATGATGAACGGCTACGCAGATCGCAGGGTGCGCGCGGGAGGGCGGAGCGTGACCGAGCGGAGCAAACCATCACAGCCACACCGGCGGGGGAACGGCTAGGAGCAAACCATCACGGCCACACCGGAGGGAGGACGTCAGGGGGCAAAACATAACATTTTCACTTCCGCGTCAGACTGATCAACAATGGAAAAAATGTGTTCAGGCTTAAAGACTCCAAGAGCAATTAATCCCCTGGTCGCGTCAACTTCACAGACACATTCACTTTCTTTCAGGCGGCTTAAGGTTACGTAAAAAGCGTTGGGCAATCCGCTGACATCTTTTCCAACGAATGCGGAACTATGTGGATTCGTTTACATGGTGTTCTGTTAAGACTGCAGTATATCATACTCCTGAGAAAAGTGAAACTACAGAGTGTATATATTACACTAAAGGAGTATACACATGGAAGTATCTAACAACAGACCACAATTTAAAAAATGTCCAATATCTCTGAATATCATTCTTCGATGTAGCCTGAATATGTAGCGAAATGACGTTCCATTCCCTCCCAGTTAAATGACAGTCTGGCTGCTTCTTGGGATAGGATCCAGGCTTGCTGTGTTATACAAATAGTGATGGAAATGGATAGATTGTATTTTCACAGAAACATGGAAAAGTTTTTAAAATTAAATCATTTGAAAAAATGAATTTCCTCAATTGTTTTGAGTGAATCCACCTTAGTAGGGGTTACCATTACAGGTAGACTTTTGCTGAATTTTTAAGTATGTTATTTTCTAAAGTTGGGTATACTTTACAAAAAAAACTCCACCATTTTTAAAGTAAATTCTACACAGTATTTTTTTCCCATGCACCCTTAAAATAACAATGAAATACTGCACCATTGACTTTAGACCAGGTTCATTTGGGTGGACAGCACGTGGCTCAATGTATTAAGCCTCAGATTATTAGCAGTAGGTTACTGGTTCATGTCCAGCCTCAGTAAAACAGTCACATGCCTATGGCTCCTTGAGCCAAGCCCAAAACTCCCAACTGGACAGGAACCTGCATCTGGCTCAGGCTGGCAAAGACATTTACATCATGCCTGGTACCACTTTGCATCAATGCCAAATATATTATTAATATACGTGATTCCTTGCTAAACTTGGGCTTACTTTATTCATAAAAATGATAAATTTACCGAAAAAAGTGAGTGCAAATAAGTTGCCTTAATAAATTTGAGTTAATCTTACAGTATAGGGTGCTACTGTGAAAGTAAGTAGACCTCAGCTTAATTTAATATATTTCATTTTCTAAAATTTGGTATACTTTACTCAAAGAAAGACCAGTTCAAATTTACTCAAAATTTAAACTGAGTGAGTGCAAATTATTACCTCAGTTGTTCATATCTGCTGGATAGTAATTACTGGGAGAAAGGCAAAGAGCAAAGAGCAGTGGTATAAAGTCAATGTTGAGATTTTGATGAAGTGAATGAATCACAGCATAGGGGGTAAATAAGCTGTCATATCCTATCAACGCTGAGACTTTTTACTCTTTCTGGAACACTGAAAACCTTGAACAGTGGTAAATTTTATATATTATACAGTGTATGCTGTCACTTTTGTCATCCTCATTGTGTCCCTCAGGTCTCCCTGTCCTGCAGTGCAGAATTGGCTGTCAGGGAGCACCTCAGCCTGGAGGTACGCTGCCATTTCATGACAGCTTTCATTAGTATGCCTATGATGGTGGGCACTTCCTCTCGTTTGATCCAAGAACTTTGGATGGACCATTTCCGTTAATTAACCCTTTATAATTCTTAATGTTAACTAATTTGGTTTTATTTAGTTCTTTCATTGTCTTAAAGTCACATATTCACATTCGACCAGTGTTTCTGAAACAATACCTTTATGAATGTTTTATTAAGGTGTGTTTTTTTTAACTATTATAAAAAATTGTTTACATTAAGTTTGATCATCTAACCCACATTTCATTAGATTATTAATGTTTTATTATTGCTTGCTATATTGCTTTTCCAGTTTCATCACCAGTCCCATGTACTAGTTCTCTGCAGATTTTGTATCGGCCAAGGACATATATATATAATGTTTATGCGATTTTGTTTTACATTGCCTATTTTGTTTAATGCAGTCGTTCAATTTGTATCATAGGCTAGTTAGCCAGAGCCTCTGTAAATCAACACTGTACAAACCATACGCAGGCAGTAACATTGTCATTTGTCTTTGTTAATTTTGGTGGTGTTTTATATTTTGCTTAGTGCATAATATGCATTTCACATTAAAGCATCTTTTTTGTATTTAAAGGTTGATGCTTTTTATCTGGAAGTCACTATAATTTGTTTATTTCAGGACCCTTCCCTGACTTGGCAGTGATGTCTGTTGCTGAATCATTAAGAGGTATTACTCCACGGCTCATGATCTGCACTGTTTTGCATGAGCTATCAGAACTGTCTCTAGTTGATTTAAGGTTTGGATCAGTGCTTCATAGCTCAGTACTGTCATACCAGTGCCCACTTGTTAGAACCAGAAGGTACAAACAACACACAAGTGCTCCAGAGTTTGCAAAATTCCCTGTGTTTGGCACAAAACTTGACAGCAAATAGAACTTTGTTCCCGACTGACATCAACTACTTTTGTTAGAGAGTTTAACAGTGAGTCCTGATATGTCAGCTTTGATATAGGAGATAACAAAACAAGAAGCTCAGTGCATTGAGTGGTCAGAAAATCGTAGACCACGGGTAACATCAAGTAGGTTTTGAGAAGCGTGCCGTGTGCAAGGGGAGTCATCTGGCCAATCACAAGCAAGAAAAATAATCAAGGGAACATGGCAGACTGAAGCAATGAAAAGAGCCCTTGAACTTGAACCAGCAGTTTTGGAACAGCACTCTGAATTCTATCATGTTAATGTGTTGCCTGGCAGATCTGTAATTCATCCAAATGCTGTTCATCAAGCACTGATGCAAAAGTGTTTGATCCGTCTGAAAATCAATGCTTTTGGTTGAAATAAAATGTACAGATGTGGGTGGTGTTTCTGAAACAGGACACATAAAGCTCATCAAATGTCAACCCCAAAAGTACTTCTGGCAGGTGCATGGTCAGCTTGTCATAACCAGACAGGAGATGTCTTTGAGGACAGAGTATGGAGGATGAGGACGTGATCTCCAAAATGAAAGATCAAACAGACCTGTGCTACTTTGGTGTCTACTTGGAAGAATATTTCAAAATCTGTAAATAACTTTTGTAGCTGTATTAATGCTTAACGACACTGAAAGGAGTGTTCCTTTTTCTGTAATATCAAGATGAATCAAAACTCTAGTGTGATTCCTTTTTTTTCATAATTATTTCTGTAACCATTTGAATATTTACTGAAACATGCTTAATTAAATGCTTTTAAATTGGAGGCTGGTATTAACACTATTTTAACTTAGTCAAAATTGAAAAAGTGACAAGATTTTGATTATACAATATAATTTATATGCATTAAAGTGACAGTCAAAAGATGTGATTTGTTGAATAAATCTGATTATATATTTTCTTCTTGAAATATCAGTAATAAATTTATTGGGATAATAAAACTTAAACTATGACATCACTTATCGAAGCTCCCTCAGAATGAGGGCAACTTGGGCTGGTTTTGGGGAAAAAATTCCATCCATGAACAGATGCTTCAACAAAAATTAGATGGTCGACAAATTAACGCTGTTCGACGTACTTGTAGATAAAAAAAAAAATTCGTGAATTTATTAGAAAATGTAATCCGATCTTCATCTACGAGGTAAGTGTAATTGCTACCACTAGACGTCAGTGTTGTATCATAATTATCACACTCTACCCTACGAGCTGGAGCCCAGCCCTTGCAGGTTGATCTCACAAACATGGATCTAACCGGAGTTATAATAAAACACGTGTCTATCCAACTTCCTCTGAAGAATGTGCAATTTAAAACATTTTAGATGATCTGCATTTGTATTTTGGTATAACCTTAGTTATTTCGAAAACAATCTTAAACCCCACATGACAGAAATGCTTTAATTGTGAAGAACTGACAGTTACTGTTCGACAAGTAGCCGGAGTATTGGGTCTGTAGCCCGACCGAAATGTGGATTCAGTCTCACAGAAAAATGAAAGAAGAGGAAAGATTACATGAATATTCAAAGTACTGAAATTAAACTGTGTGAAAGTAAATATACATGATAAGCCAACAAATTGTTCCAGATCAATATAGGACATGAAAAGCATTCTGCTCAACAGATCTTTTGCCAAAGGAAACCAAAATTATTAACGTTCACTAGGTAGGAACTATTTTATTGATTTAATTACCTAATGTTCCGAGATTCAGAGAAAAGCAAAACGTCATTTTACTCAGTAATAATGCTCTGCCCGAGGTGAACCCCTCCTTGTTTTTAAAGAAACGGAGGGTTTAAGCTTCATCACCTGTATGTGACGAATCCATACGATTTCTGACGGGCTGGATTTGAACGAGTTTTCAGGCGTGACAGCAGAAAATAAAATTACAACAGACTATAAAACAACACAAAGCCCATTCAATGCTGGAAATCTATTGCTGATATTACTCAGATTTTTAAACTGTAAATGGTATTTCCATTAACATAAGCAATCTGTGTAACCGTGTATATAGCCTATTTTTTACACTCGTAAAAAGAGTATATTATTACATTATAGTAACCAATAATTTTACCAATTTTAGCGCAAAATAAGATGATATAATCTGTAATTACAAGATAAAAAGCATCGGACACGCAACATATGCTTTTTGTTGCAAAAAAAAATACTCAATGAGTTAAAGTTTTGTACGTGGGAGGAAGTAGGAAGTACTCCGTCACTGGAGCTCTGTTGAAACCAAGGCTTTAAAAAGACAAGGGGAAGCCTGTTCCCTGGATCCGTGGCGAATGGGCGGCGGCTCCAGCAAAGCCAGTGTCCCGTTCGCCTGAGCCGTGGAGCGCTGGACCGCGAGTCCGCAGGGGATCCGACTGGAGCCGCAGCAGCGACTGGAAGGTACCGCTGCACTGACACGCTTTTACATTCACTATGATCGTTGCTCTGACATACTAACATATTTCACTGTTATTTCAATGCACTAATACGAAATCCCTAGTTAACACTGCTTTCGACTTTATTTTCTCCGCAAAGTAGCGTAAACCCAGAAAGTATAAGCTAAAGTGGAACTATAGCACGGGGAGCTGGAGAGGGCAATTTACTAGTGAGTAGTATAAACCAGTATAGCTGTCCATTAATTAAGCCACTCGAATCCAACAGGTATATCAGTCTGCTGGTTTCAAAACACATTTCCGTGATGGATAGTTTTATAGTTAGTGTACTTATGTTTGTCTCTGTTACTGTTTCGGCCTTAGGATGACAGTTGTGCCGTTGTTAAGAAAAATACTCGTAACTACATATCGTACCGTACAATGAGGCTCCAAAACCCCCGAAGTTACAGACGTGATTAAAAGAGGAGTCGAGCGTCAGACACAGAGCAGCGTGCATGTAGCCTACATAATGGGGTCACATGGAGCATTTTGAGGTCCCCATGTCACCTCATTGCGTTGAGTACATTAGGAAGCGGACAGAGATAAAGGTATTCCAAATGAAAGGCCTGACACGAGATTATGAAATCTCGGTGAAACCTTGCCAGGTAAGAGATACAGGCTGCTTTAAGCACGCATCTACTATGTCTACATCCTAGTTAGCATAAGAGAGCTGGACAAGAATGCAAGGGTAAGATAATCACGGGATGAAATATTACACAGAAAACGATCTAAAAACACTAGAGGGAATCACGGTAGCTGCCGCCCCCAACACTGAACCTATGAAGTGGCTTGTGGGTATTTTCTGGCGCAACAGTGGCTTTAAATGAAGTGATCTCCTTTCCCCAACAAAAGTGTTATTATCTTCCTGTGACGCACCGTGTCAGTGAGACGTGGTGCAGGAATTCACTCCTTGCGTTGAGCAGATTAAGCTGTAAGCAGTCCAGTCACAAAGTTGACCTTTTCTCCTCGTTTAGACTAAACTATTCAACGCTAAGCCTCCTTTAAAGTACTCTGACAGCTTTAACATAACCAGACTCACCCTTCAAATGCCAGCGGGTCTACCAGTCTACATTGTGATCTACTGTGATTGAATAATTCACCAGAGTCACTTGTGCAATGTGATACATGGCAATTTTCGGCTTTGACCGCCCCCTGCAGCCGGTGTAGTCCTCCAGTGTTTCTCCATGGTAGGTGCCAGCTCTCGACAGTAATACTAATACTCTCTCCTTTTCTTCCAGCAGTTTTCTTCCTGTTTTAAAGACACCAGCCTGACAGTTCATGTCCGAAGTAAGACTTAATGCATAGATCATTTTGTAAAGTTAAGATACACCATTCACTATGCTGATTTTTTTATACTGTACATTAACTTAATATAAGTTAATATGATATATCCATATAATAATCCATTAATACTGTTGTTTAGCTATTTGGGTTATTTAGTAACGTGCTTCTCAGTCTATGGGTTAATTTATCTCATTTAATGAAGTGCTGTCCTTAACTCCTGTCCTGCAGGCGGTATGGGGGGGGCCCTCTAAGGATGGAGATTAGTGTCATGCAGAGCGGTGGCCCGGGTGGTGCTGGAGACGGGAATACGGCCGCGACCCCCCTCCGTCTGGCGTCCTGCAGGCTGTGCCTTGGCGAGTTCCCCGGAGAGGCCTTCAGCAAACTGCAGTCCTGTGGCTGCCAGTTCTGCACCCCGGTAAGTATAAGCCCCCAGACCCCAAGCTCACCCATCCCCATGGCGGGGTGTGGTGGTGCCCGTGGACAGACTGAACATGTGACCAGAACGTTCCCCGGTCAGGTCGCTGAAAGCACGAACAGGCTGAATTACTTTAGCAGGTCGCCCAGTCGCCTAAAGAAAACGACCAGATAAATCGTTACAGTTGATCGTTATGCCCAATACATGTTTAATTTTAGTGGACACCTTTATTCAAAGTCATTATGCATCTTTGAGAAAGCAGGATCCCAGGAGCGACTGAGGGGTAATGGCCCTGCTCAGGGGCCCAGCGGTGACATCACTCCACTGACCCTGGGGCGCGAACCACTGCCTTTTCCTAATGTGCACAGCCACACACTGCCCCCTTTAATGCCTGTTTAAAACTGCTGAAGTACCTTTAAGAGAACCACGGGCAGGTAGGTGTCTAGTGTTACACGTCTGAGATCAGAACACCACAGAGGATTCGAAGGGACAGCCACTTGCTTGTCTTTTAAAGGGCCGCACCCAAGCTGGGTGCAACGAACAAGTGTGTTTGAGTTTCCAGTCAAGTCCTGTCACACGGGCATGGTTCTTCAGAGCGGGTACGCGCAGCAGCCGGTTGGCTGTTTGGTTATAGGAGCTCTCAGTGCACCAGGAACAAATACGCCTATAAATGTTTACAGACTCCTTCAAGATTCATGTGGCTAAAGCATCTGATTGAATATAACCGTGGGTTTTGGGTTATACAGCTGAAAAAAAGTCGCTAAGTAAGATCCATTTGCCTGGAGCTGTGAACCAGGTGGGTGTGGCTCATTTACATTTAATTTTTTTGGCAGGCACTTTTATTCAAAGCGATATACTCTTTTTAGAGGAAGCAAGGTCAGACAATGCCCGGAGCAATTGGGGTTTAAGGGCCTTGCTTAGGGAAAATCATTAGCGAAATAATTCTGCTGATCCTGGGATTTGAACCAGCGGCCTTCTGATCGCAAGCACGGAATTCTAACCCTCTGAGTGAAACACTGTCCCCCTTTTAAACATGCTGTTACAGCATGAGTGTGGCATTTATCCTAAACTACTTCCGTAAAAAAAAAAAATCATCACACAGCTGGCTGCTAGGTTGACTTGTGAATGGTGTTTGTCTCCCCTGGATAGTGCCTGCAGCAGTATGTACAGCTGTCCATACGAGAGAGTGGAGGGGGTCCCATCACCTGTCCAGATGCGGCCTGTGGGAGAGCTGGGGTCCTAGAGGACTCGGAGGTAACGGGGGCGGAGCAGCCGCTCATGCCAGAAGGCAACACGGGGTCTCAGAGCGGGCAACACAGCGTGAGCTGCCTAGCAGACCAGGAACCCCAGCGAGACTCACGGTGACGTGACACAGAGACCTTCAGCTGCATGTGAATGGATAAGAACGATAAACAGCCGAAATCTGTTTGGATGGAGAAACAGACTTCCCTAATGCAGTCTCTGTTCCTAATTCCAATTTTAATTGGGCAACTCAAAGCACGGCTGCGTGGGGCCCTTTGCAGGACTGTCCACCACATTTCCCCGTCTGCATTACTCACTGCTACTTGCAATCATTACACATTCTCTGATTATCATTATTATTATATTTGCAGTACATCCTAACTCTGATTCAATAGGAGAACATTACTTATATTTAGAAGAGAAAATGGGGGGAAAAGGATCATAAAATTCTAACCCTCTGCTTTTCTCTTTTGCGGTAGATCATCCGTTTTGCTCCAGAAGAGCAAGTGCAGCTGTATGAAAAGCTGAAGTTTGAAAGAGGTACTGTTTACTCATCATTATGCACTAAGCAATCATGGGACAGGACTTAGGACAGGAAATAGGGTCCCCACACCCACAACTGCAGCCAATACCCTACCATGGAAATGGATAGAAGTCTGGCGTTAGGCATGAAAAAAGCCCTGCTTGTCCGCCAAAGTGAATCAAGCGCTGGTTAGTGTTGGAGTTGACGGCTCTGTTAACGCTCCCAATCTCTTGGGAGCACATCCAAACTCATTGCTAAGTTCTGTGATGTGCCCGACCAAATAAGACGTCAGGATGATACCTGATGTCAATGCATCTTTGTTTGGAAACTCTGATCTTCATGGCCGCAAAACTGGTGAAAGGAGAGAAGGAAATGATACTGGCAGTCAAATGCAAATTGTTTCCCAGGCATGGGAGGTGAGTCACTCAGGATTTGATTATATGCAAAGTTTGGAGATTATACCGGAGTTTAACATCTAAACAAGGTAACATTATTCTGCCAATAAGCGCTGGCAAGTTTCACTGCTAGCATTAGCAATATTAGACGGAAATGGGTCAGTTATGGATCAAATTTTCCAATGCAGAAATATGGAGACAAGCAAAACAGCATATTCAATAAACCATTTAAAGTATGAAATACAAAAATAATTCCATCTGCTCAATTTTCCCTTCAGTTCCACGTAACTTCCAAGTTAGTGTTGGTGCTTGTGGTCAATCAATCAGCAAAGTTTATTGCTTTAAGCTCCACCCAATAGTTCTTGATTGAGCGAAAAGTACCCACCTGGGAGTATAGGGACTGAAATAAAGGGTCAGGAACTACCTCCAAGGAACTTCAATTGAGCTGAGTTCCTGCGGTGGGAATATGACAGAAGTTCCTGGTTTCTAAAAAAGGTTCCTGCAGTAGAAAAGCACCATGTAGCTAGGCCTTCATGTGCCTCTTGTGTTAAACTGTAGTGATGACCAAATGAAGCTTCATGAACCACTTGCTGTATCAGTTGAACCCACTTGAAGGTGCTCTCTGTTCAAAAAAGTACCCAAAGCATGCACCAACGCAAACCAAGAGCGCCATCTAGTGGGGTCAAAAAATACAGCAAATGGTTCATAAGAACATAAGAACATAAGAACATAAGAACTATACAAACGAGAGGAGGCCATTCGGCCCATCGAGCTCGCTTGGGGAGAACTTAACTAA